AATATTACTTTCATCGTTTATTTTGTGTATACTTTATCTTATTTTTTTCATAAGAGTGAGTTACTTTTCTGTGAAAGTTGGATATGGCAGAAGCAAATACATTTGCAATCGTCATATTTATAGATGAAGATGATGCTCCAGGCATTATTCTACTTTCATGGCTGGCGACTGATTACTCTACATGTTACTATCCCGAGTCTAAAACTGACCAAATGAGAGAACGCCTCATTAAGGATGACGTGAGTCCACAGAACAAAGCATACAAGTGGGCAATCTAATGTGCCACCAGATAGGAGTGGTGTGTTTAGTTTTGTTCTGATCAGTTTAATACCTTCCGCGTCTCCTATCAGTGGACGTGTATATGGCAGCCATTTTAGGAACCGTACACCTGGGACCCGAGCAAGGTCACTTCGTTCAACAGGCTACAACATTTGTCCCAAAAACAGTCAAAGGCTTCCTCCAGATTAGCCATTATTTGACTGTGTAAGTACTTCAGGTCAGTTTAGTGCCTCATCCTGCCTTGAGTAACATGAGCAGGGTCGTCCACCATCTAGGACACTGCCACTCCTCACCCACCGACAATCTTTAGGGGTGATCTGTGGTTCAGAATATCAATGTGCCATTGCCCAGCCGGGTCAGGGATGACCCCCACTGGTCCGATGGGGGCTAGCGTAAGTCGATGCTATGATCTGTAGCGCAGGGAAAGTGGCCGCCTAACCCCAGTTCAAGTTCTTGTAGGCCGCAAGCTTGCTTAACGTTCATTTAGTCTTTGAATATAATCCAGTAGGAAGTTGGAAATGACTGGCTCTTTGGGATCAGCAGCTTAAACAAAGATATAAGGTGTCTGCATTGATCAATGAATACTGTTCTTTGTATTTGCTTTATCCACCAACTCTAAGTAGACTTACAATGCTTGTGTCTTGCAGCGTATCCTCCAGGAAGAAGAGGGATAGCTCAGGCCACAGGTCAAGCCTGCACACCCAGTAGTCAAGGAGTTCATCGCTCCTCAGAGTGTCGATATCTGCAGTTAAGGCGAGGTAGTCTGCTACCTGTCGGTTGAGTCGCTCTCTGAGGGTGGATCCCGAAGGGCTGTGGCGATGCGTAGGACTTAAAAAGGTCCGCATGTCCTCCATCAACAACATGTCTTTAAAGCGTCCTGTCCTTGCCGGCGTGGTCGTGGGAGGAGGAGGATGACTTCCACCTCTCCCCCTGTTAGATTCCCGTTGTGCTGTGACATCACCCTTATACGCTGTGTAAAGCATACTTTTAATTTATTTTGCAAATGCTGCATCCTTTCCGACTTGTTGTAATTTGGTAACATTTCAGGCACTTTCTGCTTATACCGGGGGTCTAGTAGCGTGGACACCCAGTACAGGTCGCTCTCCTTCAGCCTTTTTATACGAGGGTCCCTCAACAGGCACGACAGCATGAAAGACCCCATTTGCACAAGGTTGGATGCCGAGCTACTCATTTCCCGTTCCTCCTCCTCAGTGATCTCAATGAAGGTATGTTCTTCCCCCAGCCATGTACAACACCACGGGTACCAGATAGGTGACAACGAGCACCCTGGGATGCCTGTTGTGGTTGGTCTTCCTCCTCCTCCTCAAAGCCACATTCCTCCTCTGACTCCTCTTCCTCACAATCCTCTTCCAGCGTTGCCGCAGGTCCAGCAAGCGATGCTGATACGGCTGTTTCTGGTGGTGATGGTGACCAGAACTCTTCCTCTTCCTCTTCACGCTCATCTATGGCCTGATCCAGCACTCTTCGCAGGGCACGCTCCAGGAAGAAAACAAATGGTATGATGTCGCTGATGGTGCCTTCGGAGCGACTGACTAAATTTGTCACCTCCTCAAAAGGACGCATGAGCCTACAGGCATTGCGCATGAGCGTCCAGTAACGTGGCAAAAAAATTCCCAGCTCCTCAGAGGCTGTCCTAGCACCCCGGTCATACAAATATTCATTAACGGCTTTTTCTTGTTGGAGCAGGCGGTCAAACATTAGGAGTGTTGAATTCCAACGTGTCGGGCTGTCGCAAATCAAGCGCCTCACTGGCATGTTGTTTCACCGCTGGATATCGGCAAAGTGAGCCATGGCCATGTAGGAACGCCTGAAATGGCCACACACCTTCTTGGCCTGCTTCAGGACGTCCTGTAAGCCTGTGTACTTATGCACAAAGCGTTGTACGATCAGATTACACACATGTGCCATGCACGGCACATGTGACAACTTGCCCAACTTCAATGCCGCTAACAAATTTGTTCCGCTGTCACAAACCACTTTGCCGATATCCAGTCGCTGCGGAGTCAGCCACTTTTCCACCTGTGCGTTCAGGGTGGACAGGAGTGCTTGTCTGGTGTGACTCTCTGCTTTCAGGCAAGTCAAACCCAAGACGGCGTGACACTGCCGTATCCGGGATGTGGAATAGTACCTGGGGAGCTGGGGGGGTGGAGCAAGATGCAGCAGCAGAAGAGGACTCAGCCGAGGAGGTTATGGAAGAGGATGGAGTAGGAAGAGTAGAGGAGGTGGCAGCAGGACTGCCTGCAAGTCGTGGCGGTGTCACCAACTCCTCTGCAGAGCCTTGCATTCCATGCTTGGCAGCAGTCAGCAGGTTTACCCAATGCGCAGTGTAGGTGATATACCTGCCCTGACCATGCTTTGCAGAGCAGGTATCAGTGGTCAGATGGACCCTTGCCCCAACACTGTGTGCCAGACATGCTATTACTTCCTTTTGCACAATTGAGTACAGGTTGGGGATTGCCTTTTGCGAAAAGTAATTTCGGCCGGGTACCTTCCACTGCGGTGTCCCAATAGCTACAAATTTTTTGAACGCTTCAGACTCCACCAGCTTGTATGGTAAAAGCTGGCGGGCTAATAGTTCGGACAAGCCAGCAGTCAGACGCTGGGCAAGGGGGTGACTTTCTGACATTGGCTTCTTACGCTCAAACATGTCCTTGACAGACACATGACTGTGGGCAGATGAGCGGGAACTGCTCAAGGCGGGAGACGGAGTGGCGGATGGTTGAGAGGGGGCAAGGAGCACAGCAGTGGTTGACGTGGCTGAAGATGCTGGACCAGGAGGAGGATGGCGGCTTAGAGTAGGTGTGCTGCTTGTACTCATGTGTTGATCCCATAGGCGTTTGTGATGTGAGATCATGTGCCTACGCAAAGCAGTTGTACCTAGGTGGGTGTTGGACTTCCCACGACTCAGTTTCTTTTGGCACAGGTTGCAAATGGCATCACTGTTGTCAGAGGCAGACACACACAAAAAATTCCACACTGCTGAGCTCTGCAATGACGGCATTCTGGTGGTGGACACAGCATGCGTTGATTGGCGTGCTGTCGGGCTGACCCCAGGTGCCGATGCATGCTGTCTGACTGTGCCACTAGCTCCTTGCGACGACCTCCCCCTGCTTCCAACTCGTCTCCTCCTCCTCTCTGTCTCCCCATCTGAACTTTCGCCCTGTTCTTCTTCTTGCCGAGCTGGCACCCACGTGACATCCATGGACGCATCGTCATCATCAACCGCTTCACTTGTATCTGACAACTCAGCAAAGGAAGCAGCAGCGGGTACAATATCATCATCATCATCACACCGTACGTCCATGTGTGTAATGCTGCCTGCCTGAGACATATCCCTGTTATCTACATCCTCTGGCAATAATGGTTGCGCATCACTCATTTCTTCAAACGGATGTGTGAATAACTCCTCTGACATACCAACTGAAGCGGCTGTGGTGCTAGTTTTGGTGGTGGCGGCAGGCGGGTGAGTGGTATCTGAGAGGTGCCTGAAGCTAAGCTGGAGGAGGATGGTGCGTCAAGGTTCTGAGCGGAGGCTGTAGAAGATTGGGTGTCCTGTGTTAGCCAGTCAACTATGTCCTCAGAACTTTTCAAGTTCAGGGTACGTGGCCTCTGAAAACTGGGCATTATTCTAGGGCCAAAGGGAATCATAGCACCACGACCACGATCGCTCCTGCGGGGTGGCCTGCCTCTGCCTGTCATTTTTTGGGGGATTAGTGGTACTATACGTGCAAGCTACTGTGAGACCAGATATGAGTGGCAATGTGCACTGGCACAGTTGTGCAGAGCACAGGCTGTAGGTCTGACACAGCCGCTTGAAGGACACTGACTGGCTGCTATTAGCTTACACTGGAAACCTTTTTTTCTTTGTAAAGGCACGCTACAGAGACACCAGATATGAGTGGCAACTGTCAAAGTACACTGGCACAGTTGTGCAGAGCACAGGCTGTAGGCCTGACACAGCCGCTTGAAGGACACTGACTGGCTGCTATTAGCTTACACTGGAAACCTTTTTTTCTTTGTAAAAGCACGCTACAGAGACACCAGATATGAGTGGCAACTGTCAAAGTACACTGGCACAGTTCTGCAGAGCACAGGCTGTAGGCCTGAC